GCCCACATGACAGCCGGCGCGCGGCGTCACTCCCTGGTGCGTTTCCCCACCACCGTCCGAGCGCCGGCCAGCCGGCGGCGCCTGCCGATGCGTCTGATAGCTGCGATGGTGATGTTATGCAACGGCGCAGGCGCTCGGCCGGCGCGGGCCCTCGGCTGGCGCGGGCCCTCGGCTGGCGCGGGCCGGCCGCCGCTATCGGCGCCGCGTTAGGAAACCGCCTGCGCGACCCGACCCCGTGACCTCGCCCCCGGCGGCGGCGGCGGCGGCGGCGGCGCGGTGCGTTTTCACCGGCCCCTCGGCCCGCCTTCCGGCCTATAAACAGTGACACGCCGAAAGTGTGTTTACGCCGGGCGGCGGCGGCGCTACGCGAATCCGCTGCCGCCGTATTATGCGGCGAGGTATGAGCGCGCGCATCGACAGCTGTGGGGTGACGAGGGCCAGCTTCACCAATAGGCCGATAAAATATGCGTTTTTCGGCGCGGCCTCGCTGCCGCCGCCAGTGAAAGCGACGGACGCGGCGCTCGCCGTCCCGCTGGCTAATTGAGCTCATCACGGGCCTGGGAGCAAGCGGGCTCGCACCGCGTCGTCCGCACGTGATGCCACCCTAATAAAATCTGCTTTGGGCCACTTAACACGCAAGACCGCCAGTGCGGACCGCCTAACCGGGCCCCGGAGAAACTGCAGTGGCTACGGATTCGCGCGTAGGAAAGGCGTAAGTGCCGGGTTGCGTGCCGCAGAGCGGAGGCAGCTTGCGATATCGGCCGTGGTGGCCGTGCGGTGGCGTTGGTTTGGGCAGCCGGTGGGAGTGTCGGCATTCCTCGCTCCGCTGTGTGGAGATTGTTCAGCACATCACGATGCTTGGCGAGGTGTACACCGTTCTGCGTCTCTTTCCGGGGAGAGCCACTCGTGGTCACGCCATGCTGCTCTGCTGTCGCCGCGACGAGCCGATGAGACTACGGAAGTACATTCTCCGAAAAGAGACGGGTGTGTACGATGCACGCTATCGCGCTACGGCGCCCTGTGTGCAAGCAATGTCCACCGCCGGTTCACGACAGTCAGGGACAGCGCAGCGCAGTGGTGCAGTCCTAGCACCTGGACGGAAAGGGGTTGGAGACCCGTTGACGACTGTGACATGGCCTCCCGACCTCTCCCAATTGGCTCAAATAAGTCCGCCACCAATTACCACTAATGGTCACTGATGCCCCGTTGAAAATGAGATCAGCCTTAACGCTTGCCATTAAGCCTTAACCATGCCATTTTCCATCCCACCAGCAACACCGTCTGCAAAATTGTTCATCAATCCGAAGTGGCCGTCTTTCATGTGTTGAGCCGTCTCCCAGCCCCCCAGCCCGATGATAACGCACCGTCGCCAGCGCACCCTACCGGCCGGCCAGCCGAGCGGAGCGCCCAGCGCCGTTAGGTTCCGCGTGCGAACCCAGCGGGTCGTCACCTCGACCGCGCAGATTTCGCGGTCGGGCGGGGCGTCACGCACCCGTGACGCACCCGTGACGCGTCCGTGACGTGCCTGGCCCGCGAGCATGGGCGCGCATCCTCCTCTGGCTGCGTGCCGCCGAGCGACCGAGGGTAACGGCGGGTCACTGCTGGGGAGGACGAGCCAGGCGGTCCTGCAGCGAAGAGCGACGAGTGGTGGTGAGGCGGCTGTAATTTGCTTACACGTCCGGCATGCTATATTCTGGTGCAAAAGATTCACAAATAGTTGAGGTGAAGATTGACCGCACACGATGTTGTTTCACAGTTTTGCAAGGAATGAAAGCAGGTTGCGTTGGAAAAGCTGTGGCGATGGTTTGCGCCGAAGAAAGACCATAGTCTAGAACAGAGTCTGATTTGTTTCGTTGCACCACACGGGGTCTTTCCAGCTAGAAGCTTGTTTTGAAAGTGAGAGATTGTCCTGATGGTGCTCTTCGTCTAGTTTGCATATCCGATTTATGGCACGCTCGCCAAGAGGTCCTTTTTCAACAGTACAAATACCCACATCGGCGCACGCCGCAAAAACAGGTTCGCGATTGTGTTTGCATTGGATAAATCGACCGTTTACTGGCCTGGTGCTTGTTGTGATCTGAATTCTGCATACATTAGCATTGTTTCAAGCGAGATTTACAGTGTGTCACGTCTCGGAAACATTAACCAATGCCGGTCCGTAGTGGGCAGCAGTAATATCATGGTCATATTTTACTGCATGCCATCTATTAGAAGCAGCGTTTGACGCCGGTCAAGCTTGGATCGATATAGCATTTAATGTGTGTTTGACGTTTATCCCGTCTCAGAATGTTCAGTCCATATATTTCTCGTAGAGATTACACCTACCATTAGAGCTAATGGCAGCGCGTGGGTCATGTCTCCTTTGATGATTTCCATCACTCACGTGCCTTTCCTCAAGGCTGCTTTTATTCAGAGTGCTAGTTCCACGTGCGATGTAACGAAGCGCGGTGTAAGATATGTGCATAGAAACGCCTGCCGGAGTTACCCGGGTGCAGCGAGTGACCGTGCGGAGACAGACTGATAAACTCCGCGTGGGACGGGGCAGGAGACCGTGGCCGTCTGGCTACCGACGTGGAGACAGACTGCTAAACCCCGCATGGGACGGGGCAGGAGACCGTGGCCGTCTGGCTGCCGACGTGGGCCCTGTCTAAACCCGTCACACGCGAGCGAGTTTGTTGTGGTAACCAATCGTCAAAATTTCACAAGGGACAACCGAGATCGATCACGAAGTGATGTTGTGACACCGCAGATGTTGAACACAGCGCTGCAACGGCTGGCCGGCGTACATTGCACCCTGGTAATCTCCCCCCCCCCCCCCCATGCTAATGACATTCATCAGCTAGTGATGGGCTCAGGTGCCAGCCTTCGAGTTACTCAACAGACAATGTCGGTCACATTGAGTGGACCTCTGCTCCTCTTGGTCCCACCCCCGCAGCCGCACATCATTCGGCACTGGGTAGTGTGGCTAGGTCTTCGCCCGCTCATCTGCCTTCCTCGTCCTGATTTATCCTTGTACTTAAATGCTGTCAGAGCCAGGCCGATCATCGCCGCTCAGATTGCCTGCCACGTTTGACCCAGCCTCCAATCAAGGTCACGAATGTGGGTCAACACGAGACGATTGTTAACCATTTACCAATCGTGAAGCTGACCCTAGCAACCCGCCTAGACCCCAGCCGGCCAGCATCTAAGCCCTGTCTTATACTGTTTAATGCATTTGTGTTCTCGGCAAGTACACATGCAAATCAATGTTGCGAAATTCAGTATACGCTGATGCCAGGCGGCAGCTCCATCGGCCGAACTACAGACCTTACGACAATCACGCCATAGCCCAGAACACCGGCGGCCAGCGAGGGTAGCCGACCAGCACCCGACCAGCGGTGGCCATGGCGGCCCAGGTGGCGGGCTGGTCCCCCCCCCCCTGACAGCGCCGGTGGGCGGCGGTGGCGCGGCCACCCTCCTCTCAAGGCCTCGCCCCTGCGCACTCGCTCCCGACCCCCGTCTGAGAGGCGGCGCACAGAGCGCCGCGGCCCCCGATCATCGACGTGGTCCGAACGTCTGCCAGGCGAACAGGCTGCCCTCGCACACCGCTGGTGTAGAGCTCGACCGCGTCGCTCTCCTCGGGTCTCGTTACGCTCTTTTCTCTGCGTGTAATCCCTGGATTTTTCCCGGCTTGCCTTACGGATCGTCTTTTCTGTTAACCTGCTTATTGTACCCTGCTACTTTTCTTCTCCCTATCGTTCCCCTTTTCTCTATGCTATCTTGTCGTGCTCCCCTACATGCTCTCTCCCATCTCCTGGCCCAAGGCCTTTCCGCCTATTGCCCGATTAAAAACTAAAAGGTGCTGGTAGGATATGTATTCATTACTTCCTCTCTCAACCTATTTCTTATTTTTTCCTCTGTGGCAAAATGCTTTGCCTATCGTTTCGAGACCTTTGGAAGCCCGTGCCGCCGGCTGTGCCGCAGCTGACCAAGCTGCAGGGCCGGGCCGCCCTTGACCGCCGGAAGCCTGTCGTTTGCATGCACTCCCCGTCTCCCAGCCCGCCGTTGTCCCGCCGTCAACATCTGACATCCGGCTGCCGTCTGTTGCCAACAGCTGGCTGCCCCGCCCAGCAGCACAGGGACAGAGGCGTGCCCAGGACGGGCCGATGCAGGCTGTGCCGCTAGTTTGTGCTCAAATGCGCGGGTGAAATTGTGCTAGCTTATTCTCAGGCTTTAATGTCAATGAACTGTCCTGAAGTATTTCACCAGCGCACTTCGACAAAGGGCGCTCTTATGATGCATGCCGCGCAGCAGAGGGGCGATAACGCTGGCTGTTTGGGAGGTGGGTGTTGGCATGGGCTGCGCCTGGCTCATCTGAATATAGCGGAGCCGCCCTAGGCCACGGCTCAACTGGTCTGCCTTGCGCCCACCTCTACGCTACAACACCCCAAGATGATAGGTGCAACAATGCTTGTATGTGGTGGACGCACCAGCCGAATTTAGCATACCCGATTCCTGACACCTGACCCAGGTGTTGGTTATCTGTGCGAAGATCCCTGATCAATGTGAAGTGCCGAGCAGTGACCCCTGCAACAAATCTGTTCATTGTATGGACATAGTCTACGGGCTGTTTCGTAGTCGGCCTCCTGCTTTGTTTACGACACCGGCAGGGAACATCACGCACGTCGAATTATGCGCGCAAAATCCCTTTATATTGCTAAAATGATGTTTTGTATGTGCATCGTTGTGTCCCCGTTGTGTGGTCTGCCTGGATGTCCCGCCTGATATTTAATGGTCTCGTACTTCTTGACTTCAAGTATTGTGATGCTTATTCCCTGGCATCCTCGGCCTTTACGTCATCTGCAAACAGTTGTGTTGCTCGGCCCCGTGGTTCCGCTCGCTCATAACATCTGGGTTTTATTTGACGCCCCGAGCGAACCATCGCGAGTCATCAAGAGCCGCTGCTCCAGCCTCTCAAGATCTCCCGGTGCACCGTTTGACTGCTTTACTTCTGCTTGCAGGTCCCGGACGCGCCGCTCTCACCTTGCCGAGGTCACCGATGTCGGACGAGGTCGCCACTCGGTTCGTCTGCCGCCAGGGGTCACCGGAGGTCACGCTGTGGCGTTCGCTGCCCGTCGAGCCTCGAGCCAGTGCTCCGACCAATCATAACCAATAACAATAAACGCACGTGCGATTGTTATCGGCAGAACGCCAATCACGCGCGGCGTTGGCGCAGGATCCTTCGGGGGCTCCCACAGCGGTGGACGGGGAAGGTTGGCGGCTGTGCCTCGGGGTGGTAAGATGTCGCGCCCCATCCATCCTGACCGAGGGTACATTAGGCGGGCGATTAACCGCGCTGTCGCTACACAATCTGTAGGAGTCGGACCGGCATCTACCGACGAATCACTGTACGTGACCCGAGAGCGTGTGCCGACCTCAACTTTCACTAACTGGCGACGTCTAATTACCTGTGGTTACGTGCGACGACCCGTGTCTCGCGCGCCCGCCCAGAACTGCTCCTCTGTCGAACCTGCGTGCCACGAAAGTAAAAAGTCGTCGCAGACCTGTCCCGTCGGGGCTGGCGTCCGCGTGGGTAAAGTGAACGTAGGTACAGGGTGCTTCGTTCTACCGCGCGAACACTCAACGACGTGACAGGCGTGTTTCGCCACGGAATGTCGCCGTGTGCTAATACAGCGGCGTGCGAATTCCGCGGGCCGCTCCAGCGACCGGCGAGGCTGCGGCGGGGGAAGTGCTGTCCCGCTCGCTGGGACAACCTGGTCGGTCGGCGAGGCTGCAGCAAGGGACGTACTGTCCCGCTCGCTGGCACAACCTGGTCGGTCGGCGAGGCTGCAGCAAGGGACGTGCTGTCCCGTTCGCTGGCACAGCCTGGTCGGCCGTCACAAAGGGAGCCCGCTCATGTTTAGCAAGTGCTTACCGAGTGTGTAACCAGTGTGGCTGTTTTAATACCGGTGTAAAAGACGTGGTCAGCGATTAATCAGTGACTGGCGTGAGGGTGAGTTTTGTGACGGAAGTGGAAACGTTTCGCGAATATGTCATATGTTCTCTGCTTGAGCTTGCTCTCGTGATGCGCTCGTTTGCTCTCGAGCAGACGTCGTGAAAAATACATAGTACTAACGTCAAATGAGACCGATCTTTCCGGGAGTTTATGTATTAATTATACGGGTTATCAATACTGAAGCTGTGGAGACCATTGGATTCAGCAATGCAGTTACCGCTTCATTGTTGCGTTAGCGCTGCTGAATAGTTGTCAATGCATTGAGTGTTGCGTTTGCGGCTTCGACGATTATCGAAACGCATCGGCTAGTTTTTGTAGGCTATAGCCCTCATCAAAAGAACTTGATCGAAATCTGTTGATGCATGTTAACCTGTCATTGGGTGGCACATCTGAACATCAACCACTACTAGCCAACCTCCCCTTAATGTGCCTAATTGGGAAAGTTGACAGAAATACAACGCGCAAGCGGCGCCAAGCATAAAATGAAAGTACAATTAATGTAAGCAAAGAGTTTTTGAGCTCCAGGTTCTCCGGCACTTCAAGTTTGAATTTACACCTTCCAGGATATCTAACGCCTTATTTTGAGACCACTTATCTGGCTGAGCCAATGTGCCGTTATGAATTCAGTAGGTGCTAGCGCTTGTCAACCAAGCAAACACCGAGTAATGCCATTGCAACACCAAGCACTTGTCTAGAATCGGAATACGATCCGTGCATATCATTCATGTAAATTGGAGGTCGAGGCTTCATCGCCCCTTGCATCAACGTATCAAGACCTTCCGCTCGCACACCAAAAGCCAAGCCGCTCTTCTCTCACTTTGATATTTAGCACTCACTGTCTGAGAACAGGAACCCCATGTCGCCGTGTTGACACCACAATAACCCGTCAGACTCACACCCAAGAACAGCGGCTGATCACATTCAGCATACTTAACCACGAAAGCAGCGCCACAAACCTCAAGCAACACCAAGACACCAATGCAGTCAATGCATTCCTGCTTCAGAACGGCGCGCGCCCTACGCTCGTGGCCCATACGCTACTCGGAGTGGGCCGGCCCACGAGCGGCGGCGTGACCCACAATGTCCCCGACGACTGCATACACGAGGAGCTCTCTGCCATGCAAACACCAGTCCTGCATCCGTCCGGGTACAAACCGGTCGGGCGCCCTCCATTCTCAGTGGGCCAGGTCTACCTCGGATCGAGATTTGAGCGGGCGTTCACATCCCCCGCGGCTGCCCAGTTCAAGTCACCTGCTCTACTGTGCGGGGTTAAACGCCGCTTAATATGCCACCGAAGAGGGCAACTTTCGCGGCAGTAGGCCCGAAGCCATGAAGCCTTTGGGCGTTGCTATACAGTGTATTGGTCATGAGCTTCCGGGTTCACATGGACACTCGAAAGTAGCTCGCTTGTTGCGCTTAACGATACATTGCAAGCGTTTTCACAGCGCTCTTTAGTTACTTACATACAGTGAGCGTTTTTACAGCACTTATAACACAAGCTATTTCTCCGTGCAATGTGCGCGGCGATTTAACCGTTGTGCTTCATTCTTAGATGTATGGGTGGCTTCCGGGGTAGAAAAATGATATTGCCATTTAACCGGCAATGTCTCAGCCGGCTGTTGATCATTCGGTTCTCATAAACCAACGAAGCATATACCCAAGTACGAAAATAGCCTGGCCCTGAGAAAGGGGCTGATCAAAAGAAAAAATTGGCGGTCAACATGACAAACGATCCTGTGCTATATCATCAGGGCATCTAAGTCGTTATGACTCAATCTGTTGGAGCATTCACATCACCGGACGATAAAAAATAATAGCAGGGACCATGGGGCTGTTTGTAATTCAGCTCGGATGTTCAGGAAGGTCATGTGACCCGGAACCACTGATTCGAATGCAGATATCCGATGACTTACTTTCCGGTTATCCCGGTCAAGGTTATTAAGGGTGGATAAACCGCACGTACCTGGCCGATGATGGTAACGACGATATAGAACATTTCAGAACTCTGTTCAGTGAGCAATCATTAGGCTCGTGCACTAGAGTGAAGAAACTTTAGGAACTGATAATGTACGATTCCGATACTGAGAGCGATGCATTTAGGTACATGGTGCACCAGCAGTTTAGATACTTGCTGTATTCCCTGTTTGCTCATATGCATTGAACAAGCCTCAAAACAGCATTGAGTGAGTTCAAGTCGGTACAGAGGGGCGGGGTTCAGGCTCCTCAAAAGTATACAAAGTGACACCCCTGTGCTCATCACCTCGCTTTCCGTGCTATTATTTGAAGCGTTATACTTCTTACACGGCCTTGGCGATTCCCTTCAAGTCCCGAAGAAGCGTGAATACAAGTTCACATCGCGGCACTGGGAAGTTGTGGGCTTTGGAGGGTAAATGGCCGATTCGTTAAAGCGTAGGGTTCGTGACCAAACGTCCCGGGTTTGGTTCCCGTCGCAAGAAAGATTAACTGATCCCTGTCTCCACCAAGGTGTGGCAAACTAATAACATCAATAGTTCAACAAATGATAAGATTTTCAACCAGTGGTTCGTGACCTATATATTAATTCACGCCAACCCGATGATGCTTATTTGTAACCCGTGTAATTCGTGACAAAAAACGGTGCAACCTAAGGTCTCTCCTTTTCCGCATTTTTCGACTTCTTTCTTTATCTTCTTTATCGAAACTGAACTATAAAGCACGAAGACACATCTAATGCGACTTCCTGTTATCGGCCCTGGATTAATAAGGGTTGTTAGTGGCAAACACAGGCAGCGATAATTGAGCTCAGAAACTTCAGTTTTGACGATTAACCCCAACAAGACCAAAAAAGCGAAAACCCTCACTGGTCCGCAGTGACTGCGTTCCCGCCAGGAAGCGTGTCGTGTATGATGTCGGCGCACAGTTTGGTCGCGCGTCGTCGTGGCATCTCGCCGGCGTTCTCTTCATAAGGAAGTGCCTGCGATCGAGGCGTGTTAACGCCCAGGTCCATGGTCCCTGATCGTAGTTCTCCTGTGTTGCGTACGCCACCGAACCCCAGTGGCCGACTTCGGAATCAGGATCGTTCAAGCCTTGTCATCGTCTCTCCCCCACCAATCGAAGCCACATGCTGCGCGCGGGATTACAATCAAAGTCGCATCAGGACGGTCACTTTCCAGCGCGACTGCCAATGTCGACACCACGAGCGATCGCGTGGAGCCCCTCCCTCAACGCTTTGGCCCACTGACAAACCAGCTTTACAAACTCAGCCTCAAACACAGCCGCAAAACCAGTGGCAGGCGTAAGAACGAGTGGGATGGGGTGGGATGGGAGCATTGGAGGAGAGGGAGAGGCATGGCTAAGACACTTCTCGGTGAAGTTTAACGCTCACCCCTTACGTGGAGCATAGAGAGACTGGACTTTAAAATGTCCGCGCTCGCCCACTTTTAGCGTGTTCCTCCTCCCGTGATCAAAAGAAACAGTCACGTTGCACTTCCGACCGTCTCCCGCGGCCGGCGCGCCATGTTTATCGCCCAGACTTCTGGATGGCCGCTGTTTTCGGCCCGGCCGAGGACAATGGACCGTCCAGACGGGCGTCGTGGGAAACCCGAGGGGCGGGCACGCCGCAATTGCCACGAGCGCGCCGCAATTGCCGCCGTGATGTGCCAGGTTCGCCACACTGCGCCAGTGTCCGCGCGCCGCCCGCCGCAACCACCGAATAAAAGTGAAACCAAAGCGTGCGGAAGTCAGACAAACTGGCTGTCATTGATGGGCAGATGGGCATTGAGCACGCCCCGCTTCCTGTCGCATTGCTGCTGTAAAAGAGAAAGTGCTTAAAGCAGTCCGTAACGCACACGTACGTGATGCAGCAGCACTGCAGGTTCAAGTCACTATGAAGAAGCGATTGAAATGGGCAACCAGGCACGCAGCCTTGAAGCTCATACCATCAAGCTATTACAGCTTGTAGGTTGCTTTGTGGTGATGTGTTAGGATGACCATTGGCAGTAATGACTCTGATGTGTGTCTGATGGCTGCCTGACGACTGATGATCTGGAATGACAGTATTGACTTGGCATGGTCCGCACGGTCTACACGGTGTGTTCGTTATTACCGCACCCGTCGGGACACGTGGCGCACGTGGTGACGTGGAATGCTGCATTACATCTTCAAAGGTTGACATCAGGCCGGTAGCATCGGAACGGAGTAAGGCATTTCACAATGCATTGCTTCAGCTCGACGATACAGGTAGGACTCCTTTTGCAGCAAAGGACGAGAGGGGTGATAACAGACGCGATTATTACCATCATGCCACATTCTGAAGCGTTGATAATAGCCCCCCATTCTCAAACAACAATAAGTCACATTTAACAACGTTGTTATTAAGGCAATGGTGTCAGAACTGAAATTACGTAAGTTGTTCATTGCATTAGCGAGGAGCATTATTCACACAGATAAGACAGTAGCAATAGCTTTATTTCTCGGGTCAATATTTCGGCAAAAAGCCTTTATCGAAACAATAGCAGAGGCGAACTCAAAATTAACTGCCGGTGAACCTACTCGGTTTCCAGTTGTTCTTTTTTTTTACACAGCAAGCCACGGTTTTTACAGGACACCAACATTCACGGGATTAAACAAAGAGCAAATGCCAGCCATTACCATGATACAGTGCCTATCTAGGAATTAAAATACCCGAACATACGTGTGCATGCAAACAAATTCAAGCAAATAGGCATCACGCATCACGCATCACGCTTCATTCAAACATGCAAGCGAGTTGAAGAAAACAGGCACCACACATCGCGCATCAATTACACGTGCGAGCGATTTCAATTGGCCAGGCATCGCACATCACGCGTCAGACATCACCTCCACATGTAAACGATTTTAAGCTAGCACACATCACACATAGAGGCACATATCACGTTCGCATAATCGGCCATGATGAGCCCTATATGTTAAGGTTTGGTCGCAAATTTTTTGTAAGAATTAATTCACCTTATTTTCCTGTCTGGTTGGTCCTATGCTCTGCAAATGACTTTGAGCTCTAAAAGGGGCATGGGGTTCATGCCACCCTCGATTTCAGCCTGAGCGTGTGTTGCCAAAAAATGGTCAACGAAAGGGGCATTCCCTGTTTGTTTTTTTGTAACATCTCGCAG